AGTGACCCCCCAGTGACCCCCCAGTGACCCCCAGTGACCCCCACGGACACCCACCGACCCCCACTGACCCCCAGTGACACCCAGTGACACCCAGTGACCCCAAGGCACCCCAATGACCCCTTAAACACCCCCCTAATAGCCCATATACCCCTTAAATACCCCCAATACCCCCTAATACCCCATGCACCCCCTAAATACCCCCAATACCCCCCTAATAACCTCATGCACTCCTTAAATACCCCCAAGACCCCCTTAATACCCGATGTACCCCTTAAATACCCCCCAATACCCGCTTAATATACCTTGGGACCCCTTAAATATCCCACTATGCCCCTAGATGTCCTCAGATACCCCTCTAATACCCCTCTATTGCCCCCCAGTACTCCCTGGCACCCCCTAAGTACCTCCCAATTCCCCCCTTTGACACTCCTCAAATGATTCTTAATGCCCCCATTTTCCCCCATTGCCCCCATTACCCCATTGCCCCCCCATTACCCCCATTGCCCCCATTACCCCCATTGCCCCCATTATCCCCATTGCCCCCCATTATCCCCATTGCCCCCATTACCCCCATTATCCCCATTGCCCCCATTACCCCCATTACCCCCATTGCCCCCATTACCCCCATTACCCCCATTGCCCCCATTACTCCCATTGTTCCCATTACCCCCATAGCCCCCATTACTCCCATTGTCCCCATTGTCCCCATTACCCCCACTCACTCAATGAGGTCAGAGAGGCCGCTGTAGATGTCCTCATCCCCAACACAGTCACCAATGGGGAAGGGCCTGTACGGGGGGGACACACATCCCAAGTGATGGATCCATTGGGAACCAGGACCTGGATCCATCAGGAACCAGGACCCAAATGATGGATCCATTGGGAACCAGGACCTGGATCCATCGGGAACCAGGACCCAAATGATGGATCCATCAGGAACCAGGACCCAGATGATGGATCCATTGGGAACTGGGACCCAGATGATGGATCCATTGGGAACTGGGACCCGGATGATGGATCCATTGGGAACTGGGACCCAGATGATGGATCCATTGGGAACTGGGACCCAGATGATGGATCCATTGGGAACTGGGACCCGGATGATGGATCCATTGGGAACTGGGACCCGGATGATGGATCCATTGGGAACTGGGACCCGGATGATGGATCCATTGGGAACTGGGACCCGGATGATGGATCCATTGGGAACTGGGACCCGGATGATGGATCCATTGGGAACTGGGACCCGGATGATGGATCCATTGGGAACTGGGACCCGGATGATGGATCCATTGGGAACTGGGACCCAAATGATGGATCCATTGGGAACCAGGACCTGGATCCATCAGGAACCAGGACCCAAATGATGGATCCATTGGGAACCAGGACCTGGATCCATTGGGAACTGGGACCCAGATGATGGATCCATTGGGAACTGGGACCCGGATGATGGATCCATTGGGAACCAGGACCTGGATCCATCAGGAATCAGGACCCGGATGATGGATCCATTGGGAACTGGGACCCAGATGATGGATCCATTGGGAACTGGGACCCGGATGATGGATCCATTGGGAACTGGGACCCGGATGATGGATCCATCAGGAACCAGGACCTGGATCCATCAGGAACCAGGACCCAAATGATGGATCCATTGGGAACTGGGACCCAGATGATGGATCCATTGGGAACTGGGACCCAGATGATGGATCCATTGGGAACTGGGACCCAGATGATGGATCCATTGGGAACTGGGACCCGGATGATGGATCCATTGGGAACTGGGACCCGGATGATGGATCCATTGGGAACTTGTACCATCATTATCCATCGGGAACTGTAACCCCAATCATGGATCCATTCTGATTCCCAACAAAGATCTAAAATCCCCACTCACGTGAGGCCTTTGCTCTGGGCAATGGGGGTCCAGGAGAGCGTCGAGAGGGTCTCAATGACCTGGGGACATGGAGGCGCCATTGGGGCCATGGGGGCCGTGACCCCCGGCTCCCCCCAGCTCTGCCCCACACGTGTGGGTCCCACCTTGCCGAAGTCGTGGACATCGAAGAGGTCGAAGGCGCCGAAGAGCCGGTGCTTGGGGAGCCCGAACTTGTCGGCACAGGCGCTCAGGAAGGTGCGGATGTTCCTCAGGCACAGGAACTGGGGCGGCACCAGAACCATCAGCACTCGGTGGCACCGCCATTGGCACCACCATCAGCATCATCAGCTCCATCAGCACCATCAACACCATCAGCACCATCAGCATCATCAGCACCATCAGCACCATCAGCACCATCAGCACCATCAGCACCATCAGCACCATCAGCACCATCAGCTCCATCAGCACCATCAGCACCATCAACACCATCAGCACCATCAGCACCATCAGCTCCATCAGCACCATCAGCACCATCAACACCATCAGCACCATCAGCTCCATCAGCTCCATCAGCTCCATCAGCTCCATCAGCTCCATCAGCTCCATCAGCACCATCAGCACCATCATAAGTAGCAATATAAAGCAGCTGTATCTTATGGTGGAGGATTTACACTTTCATACTATATATGTATTTTATAAGTAAAAATCATGAGGAGACAATTATAACAATATCAGTACTGAAGTGTGCTTACTTCATACGAAATATCAAGTAAAGGCCACCAATTCACACCTGTGTATTCTACATCTCCAGGCAACATCCCTGCCTTTACAGTGTCCCTCTTCCCCATGTGCCACACTTGGCTCCCACTTGCCGCCTTCTCCACTGCATTCCCACTCCCATCCACAAAGGGAAGTTTCCAGTATGAGTGTTATCTAATAAAAACATAAATAATCCAGACAGAATACACAGTGCTGTATGTGCTCTGTTCCACATGGTAGGAATTACGAGGTGGTGACCTCTGCATCAAGCTACAGGAAAGTGGAATGCTAACACAATCCTCCCTGAGCATGCAGCAGCCAGCCAGGAAATATCCGAGTCCATCAGCTCAAGATGAAGAATTACACAACTCTAAAACAGTTTAGGAAGGTATTCCATGGGATAAACACAGCAATCACTAGTTGCTTACGTTAATCCAAGATTTCTTCATGTATTTGCATTCAACTTCCACCTATTCACAACCATGAGCTATTATTCACATAAAAGTGATTGGAAAAGCTGATGTCTTGCTGCAAGTTGCTCCTCTGTTCAACCAAAGCAGGGAGGACACAAACGTTTTCTTCAAAGGATGAAAGTCACAGCAAAGCCTCTACAGTTCTTTAAAGACTAGAACACTTTTCTATGATAAAATCTACAATTAGAAGGAGTTGGAATTTTTCTTATTTCATTACACAACCCATACAGAGAATGAAGCAGGAATCATTTGCAGATGGTGTCCTGCTTTGGGTTTGTTTGGTGTGTCAGCTCCACAGGGTTTTGGAAGGCTTAGTTGCTTGATGCTGGAGTGCTGACAATTCAGAGACTCTCTTTTCCAAACCAAAATTAAGTAAAATACCCTCCCCCTAACCTTGTACCACATCACTCTAAGCACCCCTCCTTGCTCAGCCCCCCAGAAGTTATCAGGAACCTTTCTGGTTTAGTTTTGCATGTGCAACATGCAGCTCACTACAAATAATGAAAAAGCAGCCACAAAACAAATGATCTCTTGTGTCCTTGGGTTTTATTTGCAAACAATCCTTGAATCCCAGCCTGGTTTGTGTTGGAAGGGAGCTTAAAGCTCCTCCAGCTCCAACCCCTGCCACGGGCAGGGACCCCTTCCACTGGAGCAGCTTGCTCCAAGCCCCTGTGTCCAACCTGGCCTTGAACACTGCCAGGGATGGGGCACTTGTCCCAAGCCCCTCTCCAGCTTTCCTGCAGCCCCTTTAGGCACTGGAGCTGCTCTCAGGTCTCCCCTTCAGGAGCCTTCTCTTCTCCAGGCTGATCCAGCCCAGCTCTCTCAGCCTGGCTCCAGAGCAGAGCTGCTCCAGCCCTCCCAGTGTCTTTAATTAATCTGGGTAATTAAAAAGTAATTTCAGCTGTAACACCTCCCAGTCTGACCTGTTATTTTATAGGGGAAATATCAATGCTCCTCTCAAAATAGATAACCAAAAAGGGTAGGAGACCAGTACAATAAAACCATCAAATGCATCAAGTGTAGAAGCAACTGTGGGAGAGGAGGCTGATGAACTAGTATGTGACATGTTCCTTGTTGAAAGAGTGCACAAAGTAAAATGGCATTTAAACTGTAGAAACTGCTTGTCTTAAGTTTACAGTTAAGTTTGCTTTAAGAGTTTGGCATGTCCTGTTCCAGCACCAAAACAGACCTGAAACATGTACCGTGGAAAGCAAGCCAAATCAGCCAGCAAACAAAACAACCAAAAAACCCCACCAAGCAAGATTCAACTGCTGACAAAGCCCTGATGTAAGCGCATGTATTGGTTAAAGACAAGCCCAAAGTGTTCTGAGCTTTATTCCATCTCTCCAAGAAGGAGAGCTGCACTAACCTCAGGCATGGTAGTTCTGCAACAAACACAAGTTTGAGGAGGATCTTCCAGCTGCTTGAAACACAGCTTTCAGCTACAGAAAGATTTGATGGGTGGAAGCTCTCTCTTCTGAAGGAACCTGCCTCTTCTTTGGCCATCACTACTCAGCACAATGCACTTTTCATACCAAAACAAATGAGAACAAGCCTCTGAAAGACAAGTTCTTGAAGACTGACATAGAATCATCACTTGCCTCTAAAACTGGCAAGCTTAAACCCCAATTATTCCTTACGTCAAATAGTAAGCCAAGGGAGGAACCTCTGAAGCTTTGCAGCTGCACCACCAAGCCCACACTGTATGTACCAACACTGCTAGCGCCTGAGGGATGTCCAGTGTTTGATGGACCCCAAATATTCAGTAGGAATCACTAAGTCACTATCACTGAGCTGCCAGCAGTGTGGGAAGTGGTGGGTTCTACCCAAACTCACTACACAAAGAGATGAGCTGGCATGCAACAGGGGTGGCACAGTGCAATCTGCCTTCCAGAAACCAGCATAATGCAGCTGGACACACAGAGACTCCAAAATCATCACACAGCAATACTTCAGGAGAGATGACTGCTAAAACAATACTCGCCAAGTGGTACTGCTGATGAAATATAAAGTCCATCAGGCAGTTTTTGAGCCTAACACTCATTTACTCATTGCTTTGTGCTTTGCTGGAAGTATACAAGACCCTTCCAATGTAAATAAATCACATTTGCAACCCCCTCGAGGCACTTAAACCATTACAGTGATGTAGACCAGTGCTAGTGAAAAATGAGCCCTCGGTTCCCATTTTTCCCCCTCAACTTTATCTTTCCTGTAGCTAAACTGCATTTTGCTTAGTCTCCAATTTATTTGTTCTACAGGGCCCTGAGTAGCTGCATTTAAGACAAACACCTTTATTAAGCAGTTATTGTTCCACTTGTTCTGAAGATAAATATTAAAAAAGGTACATATTTCCTGCCTGCTAAACATATAAAGTCCTCCCGATGATAAATCTGTTTTAGCAGAGCTCTGGCACCAGCATCTCTCTGAAGTACTTGTTTTCTTTAGCATTGAAACTCACCATTATTTGCAGGTTGATTTTATTTAATCTCAGAGAAGATTTGTTACAAGACAAGGACAGGAAAAGAAGGATGATCCCTGGGGTGGCAGGACCCATAGGACTGTCAGAGCTGCACAGGAGCACACAACCCTTTGCCTCCCATGTGAAAACACCATGCTTTGCTCATCAATAAAGAAGTACTTCCCAATTCCTGAAGCAGGGAGCACCTATTTCTCAAAATCCTCACAAAACACCAAATCCTCACATAAGCCCCAATATTAGAGACTCGTATTAGAGAGAGCTGGGAAGAGCTGGTGAAACCCCCCTGGGACTGACAGCAACAAGCACTGGCACTGCAGAGAGCAGCCGGCCTCCTGTGAGGAGCCCCATTAGCACATTAGTGTCATTCCAGCCCACCTGCATTCCCACAGTGTCACCAGGGCCCTTTCTTCCAGGGTTCATTTTACATGCTCCTCTCTCACAGGCAGGCAGGGAGCTAATGAGCAGTCCCCAGGCTTGGGCTGCAGAGGGAAACTGGCAGTGGCACTGCAGATGTGGCCTAATAAGATCTTCATTGGAGAAGGCAGAAGGAGCTGCCCAGCACAAGCACTCAAGCTGGTTTTAGAGGGGTTCCTTCAATCAGGTTGAAGCAGCCCCTTCAGACAGTGAGCTCTTTCCTTACAACTGCGGAAGTTACCACCAGTGCAGGATGGTGTGGAAAGGTCTTGCATAGATCAGCTGGAGCTGTGCTAAATTCCTCCAGACCCATCTCCTGTTGGTTGCTTGCAGTGGATTTTTAGGTTCAGGAGCCATTGAAGTCTTTGTGAGCAACTAACAACTGTTGGCTTCGATGGTTTTCAGTGGGGAGAAGCTAACCTCCTGCATTCAGAAGAAAGGACTGCTTTGATATTCAGAAGACAAAACCATTACTATTACCATAACTATTTCACTTAGTTTGAAGTATGCCAACCTAGATGGCATATTCTGCATTCAAAGTTCAGAAGGATAAAATGAAAGCTTCCAGGACCAACAGGGTACCACATGGCCATGGAGAGCACACAAGGTCCCAAGCCAACAGTGACCTGAAACCATTCCTACAACGGCTTTCCCTTCCAGGTATTCAAAACTTCACGGGAAAACAAGTGACCCCAGCACAGTGGCAAGAAACACACTGGATGAGCCAATTATCTTTTCCATCTGGACAGAGAAACACCTACTAAAGGAGGAAACTCTGAAAATCCATCCAACCATTCCTGAAAGCCCAGGATAATCTCAGAGTGGGGGAAAGGAGTCAGGTTTTATGGCACAGGTGGGTGCAGCCAGCTCAGAGAGCCCAAGGCATGGATCACAGCCCTGGTGGCACTGGACAGGCAAGCAAGACCCTCTTAGAAGGCAGGATCAGCACAACAACTTTTGTCACCCTCCTGAATACCTGACCTGGTTTGCTATCAGGACTTACCTACCAGGCTGTAGGATGAGCCAGTTTGACAGACCCTGGCTGAAAACAAAGCAGGTTCTCCTCAGCTTGCTCTGCTACCCCAGGCCTGATAGAGCAGGAAGATATGCCCAGAGAACAACCTCCTCTGTGCGCAGTAGCCAGCTGCAAAGTTGGATGTGCCATCATCTGCCAA